CATACAGACATACATGAATGAATGAATGAATGAATGAATTAATGAATAGCAGGATCTGTCCAAGGACCCATCAGAAGATTTCAGCAGATTCCCAACTGTGCATGTGAGCATCATGACAATCATGGGTTTTCAATGTTGCAGCTATAAAAAGAATATAAATATAAATATTTAAAATATACCAAATATATATATCATTCCATTTCTCACTGGTCAGTTAGAATTAAGGAAGCTTCTTGGATGAGAAGTGAAACGTTTTCAGAGAAAAAAAATTAGATGCCTGAGTTTATATATTCTTTTTCTTCATTTCCCCTGGTTATGTGAAGATAAGACACATTCATTCCTGCTTTTATGTGCACCAAACAAGAATGGTGACTCAAGAAGTGCTTTGATAACAATCTGGAATAGCTAGTTAAAAGGAGTGAGTGTTTTTGATCTGTGTGATTATGGTCAGAATTGAAGAGTGAACGTGCGAGCTAATTTATCAGAAACAAACAAACCCATGATTTAAATGAACCTTTCTACAAAACTTTCCAAGTCCACCCTGCAGATTTCTTCCTTAAAGTTACTTGATTATTAAATGATGATGAAACTGCATCACTTTCCCACAAGTGGTGCATGCACACATGCATGCAGATAGCCACATGTATTTTAATATTCATCTTGTTCTATAGAAGGATATGGCTTAAAACAAGCTTCTTTTATCTTTTCTTATATTATTCCCAGCAACGTTATATTTAGTAGAAAACTGTTTCTAAAGTTAAGTTCAGTGGTTGCATAGGAAAACTTCATGGTGACATCTCTATTTCCTAAGGACAGGGGTGTCAAACTCAAGGCCCATGGGTCACATGTGACCCTCCCAAGCTCCGTTTTCACTGGCAGAGGGTTGCAGGAGGCCGTCCTAGCCAAAAACAGAGCTCGGGAGCCCGTTTTCACTGGCAGAGCACTTGCGCCACTCATGCCCTGACATGAGTGGTGTCAAGCTGGCCATATTGAAACACAACCCTGATGCGGCACTCAATGAAATCAAGTTTGCCCTAGGAGAATCTAGTCTCTTAATCCGGATAGTAATTTCTAAAGGATATCTAGGCATAGAAGAGCTGTAGAGGCACACACCAATAGACCAAAATGTTTGTTAAAATACCACCATTTAAGACTTAACACAAAACACCATGTAGTAATAAAACAATACAGGAGTTATCTGTACAATAACCTTATGACATTAGCAGAGAATTTGAAGGATGCTGTTAAATCATCTGTTTTACAGGTTATAGATTACTGTTTCTATTATAAACCTGAAATATTGAAAAAGCTAAAAGTACAACAAGAAAAAGAAAAAAGTAGAAAAAATAAAGAAAGCTACAAATAAGAGGCTCCTGATCTTCATAGCAGTTATAAGTACATTAATATTTTAACCTCTTTCTCTAAGGTTACATCATGACTCTCTTCTTTCTATAATCTATCCTCTATAACCGTAAAAAAAAAATCACATTTTTTTAAAAAAATTATGCAAAAAGTCCATAAGGGCTATTAAATTGTTATATTACATTGCTCAGTGATCAAATAAAAGTTTATTGATTGATTAAACCATTACAGGGTTTTCTTTTTTTTGCTACAAAGAGCAACATTAAGACTCAAAAGAATAGTTTGAGTGTAGTTTAAAAATATACTAGTTTGTATGAATAGGGAGGACAGCGTGTAAACTTAAGTTAATGAGGGGTTAAAAAGCCAGATTTGTGAAGATTTAATGACATTTTTTATTATATAGGCCAGTGGTCATTGTATATGTTTCTGTCTTTATCATTTATGTATGTTCATGAATGGTATCCTAGAAACCGTCATTGTTATTTTTATTATTATTTGAATGTGTGACCTTTCAAAGCCTTCTACTTAAGGTGCTTGAGAAATACTCCCGCAGAAGGTGGTTCTTCTTCTAACCTTTGTTGTGCTAAATCTACAAAGCTGTAGAAATTCAGATTAATTTAACAGTTGGGGAGGTGGGGAAAGGAACCCTAGCTGTCTTCACAATAGAAAGGGTTTTATTTTTCCAAGTTCAGTTTACTGCCCGAAATGTCAGACTGCAAACTATATTCATAGCTTGGATAATCTACATTTCCAAGTTCCCCATTTGTTGATCTCTTTTCTTTTTGTTCCATATTTGTATTTTTTCTCAAGTGCAACTTCTTTTTCTCAGTTCTAACTTGTGGAAGGAGTAAAGGAGGTAGGAACACCCAAGCACCACTCATTCGCTCTCTATTCCCTTCATAATATCGCAAATGCTGTTCTCTTTGGTTTCAAAACCCAGCAGGAGAGACCTGCAACATTGCCCAGAATGTGCAAAAGCATTACCTGAGTAATAGTGTGTGGACTTGAATCACTGTTCCCAAGAGCATGCTAAGTAACAGCTTGTGGTTTAATCTGTTGAACTGCTTGATGTTTTTTGACCCCTTGTTGTCCTTGTGTTTGTAGCAGCCGTTTTATTTTCTCCTTGGAGACGAGAACAGAGCATTGTACCTTTTAAAGAAGAAAGAGAGAGAGAGAGAGAAGGCATTCCTCCCCCCTTTCTGCACCAAAAACTTGCTGGTTGTGTCTGTTTTGTGTATTGCAAAGTTGTTTTGGCCAAGTGCAGACAGGATTGAGTTAGGATGATGATGGTGATAATAATGATGACGACCATGATGTAGAGTTGCTTTTTCCATCTGAGCGCTGGGTTCTTCGGAGAAAGACTTTGCTTGGCAAGCTTGAATGTCTAGGTCAAACTCAAGGTGAAACTCAAGGCCTGGGGGACAGATCTGGTCCGTGGAGTACTTAGATCTGGTTTGTAGGGCCACCCTGGAAACAGCAAAGGACTGGCCAGCAGCACTTCCGCCAGTGAAAATGGGCTCCCAAGCTCTGTTTTCGGCTGCCTCGATGTCCGTTTTCACTGGCAGAGGGTTGCAGGAGACCATGGCAGCCAAAAATGGAACTCAGGAGCCTGTTTTTGCTGGCAGAGCTCTCAGGCCACCATAGGCGCCCCCGACAGGAGTGATGTTGAGCTGGCTACGGCCTCCCTGGCCATGCCCACTCTAGCCTCCCAAGGACAAACCCAACCCTGTTGTGGTCCTCAATGAAACTGAGTTTGACACCCGTGTTCTAGGTCAAGTACAGGGAAATAATAAAATGTCTCTTCTATTACTCCATTGTTAAATGTCTACTTTTATGAGGAAGTAAGTTTCATAAATTGGTTTAGTGGAAAATTAATAATGTGTTCCAATTTCAAGATTTAGTTATTAGCAAGACGAAGATGAAATCTTTTGAGATTCTCCAGAATGGTCGAGTGTACTTGACTGGTTTCAATATGGGTAACATAGCATTACAAAGAGGAATGGTAAGAAACATTACTGAATTAGAAAAAAATCTAGTCAAACATAATGCTGGGACTTATTTATAAATGGCTGGAGAAATATGATTCAGAGTCCGGACAAGCAAAAGAGTTTATGATTAAATAGATACAGAATTTGAATGTGGTAATAGAAGTGCAGCAGTGGAAATTTCATTGGAAAAAGAACATTAACTTTCCTCTCAACATTATAGTTAAGAGGAAATTGGTATACAATATTTTATTATTGGTATATTACTCTAGTCCCGATGGCTAAAATGAACAATTCCTTCTCTAAAAAAATGATGAAAATGTAGTGTTGGGTTATTTTTTAATATTTGGTAGCAATATTGTAAAGCACAACGATTCTGGAAAATAATGCACAGTAGAATGAAATAAATCTTAACAAGTGAGTTTAAACTGCTTTATTAAATTGAGTAAACCATTCATTTCTTTAAATTATGCTGAATTAGCTTTGTATATGCTAACTACAGCAAGGATACTATGTTTTGGTAACATATGTTTTAGAAAGACTGATTATAAAATCCCTGAACTGTCAGTTAATATGTTTGCTTTGTACCTCATATACATTCTTTTTTCTGTGTAAAGACTCTATATTTTAACTTCGTGGGAAAATTAGAGTGAATTTTCTGAACTGGTTCAATTTATTATAATTCTGGTTGATGAGTTTAAATGTGTTCCCGATCTTTATTTTTTAGCTCCATACTTAGTTTCATTGTTTTTTTAAAAAAAGACAAATACATTCAGTTGTTACGTAATTAGTTAGGTGTTGGAAGACCGTAACCTCCATGACATTTTCAGATCCTCTGTTTGCCAAAATGGGCTGAGCTGCCATGATTTGCCCTCACCTAGCAATTCAAAAGCATACACATGCAAATAGATAAATAGGTATCACCTTGGTGGGGTGCTAACACTGTTCTGTACACTTCAGCACATGCTGGGCACATGACTGCGGGAAGGGTCTTTGCACAGTGCTGTGACTCCGTTGGCTAAAAAACGGAGATGAGTATCACCTCCTAGAATTGGATATGACTGAACAGGGGAAACCTTTACTTCTATAGTCTTCCTTTGAAATGTCTAATAAAAATCTGATGATTGTAGCCTCTGGATTGGATATGTTTCTATCTTGATTTGAATTGTTTAAATGATTTTCTGTTCCTAAATCAACCAGTCATAATGGATTTTGCCTAAGTCATCAAGCCTAGCAGATTTTAACTGATGAACTTTGGATAACTTATTTTAAGATACTTTTGGTGAGTTTTGTAAGAATCATGAGTTTGATTTAAAAAAAAAAAGAATAGTAGCTCTGTTTTATTTATTCTGCAGGTAACGGTGATAAGAACAAAAAAAGATCTCACCATCTTTTGGGTCAATCTTTTGGTTTATCTGGAAATATGTTGAGATATTTGAATAAATATTCATACTTCTTTCAGGATTTACTTTGTCTGCATGTACCTGCAGCATTAAAAAACCCATCTTTAAACAATCTCTACATATCTCAAAGTGTTGTTATCTGTACCACTATGATTAAATAAGAGTATTTAAATATATGTTGTTGCGTATTTGTTATCAGATGATTCTGTGGAATCAGTATGTTGATCTTTTGAACTTTTTATCATTTTAGCACAAAGCCAAGGTAGAAGCAATGACCTTGGATCTTGAGTCTCTTCAAAGTGTATGGGAATTTGCTGAAACCTTCAAATCCAAGAATCTGTAAGTACTTAGAAACAATTATTTTTTTTCTTATTACATTAGCAAGAGTTTGCTTTGCTGTTGTTGAATCAATTGAGCAAAGTTACCATAGATGGGAAGCTATTGCAATATTCATCTCTGTCTCTTTTATAATAATATGGTCTGTATACTTCAAATGAGATTTAAGAGCTAAGTCGTTTTTATACTTTCGTTTATTATTAAGGGGCACAATTTACAGAGTCAGAGAATGATTGAGATTTATAAATTCAAGGGCTATGAATGAGGTGGGTGTCTAAAGTATCTAAATTTGATAAATAAAATAAATACATTTCTTTGTTCTATCTTCCCTCTGTGCAATTCCAATAAATATATTGCTTTAAGACCAATAAATATAAATACGAAAAACAGAAAGTATGAATGCCATTGAGAGTTATGACAACTTGAAATGGGAAAAATAGAGAAACCTATGAGGGTTAGAGAAAGCAATGAATATGATGTATATGACTGAGTCTTTTTATCATAAGGTATAGGCACACTCAAATTAAGAATATACACAAAATGCAAAATGCCATTTTCTATTTTGAATTTGGATGGATTCCAATGGCAGACAGGATCAACTGACTTCTAGGAACTGCTCAACACATTTCAGAAAAATTGGCCAAAGGCAGTAACATAGCAATCAAAGCACATGCTAGAACAGATGAGGAAGGCTAGATTCCAGATTTAAGAGGTGGCTGTTTGTAGGAACACAGTTTTATCAATCTCAGTCCAAGCAAAACCTCTGGAATATCAGTCCTCCAGAGATTAGAATGGCCTCCTCGCTAATATTCTTCCGGAAGGCACTAAAGACCTGGTTCTGCCAGTGGGCCTGGGGAACCCAGAGTGGGATGGAGCCCATCAAATAGCTCATGTGATCTGCAGTTGTCGGGGTGGAGGATGGGAGTTGGGGGTGTTTTTTTTTTTTCCCCCAGATTTTATTCTATTGCACTTTATTAATTTATTTGATTCTTTTTGTTGCTTTGTTTCTATTCTTTTTTATTTTAAATATGGTTTTACATTCTGTAAACTTCCTCGAGTCAACCTGGGTGAATAGGTGGCAATATAAATTCAATAAATAAAATAAGTAAACAATAATAAATAAAAACTCAAGATCCTTTGGTAACATTACATTTATTTCTTGGTTTGGATTGTTTGAGATGGGAATGGTCAAAGTAATAACTTTGGTATTCATATTCTTTATTGGTAAAGGATTCTCAGAGCAAGAACGTTGAAGATATAAATATGCAATTACCACTTTCAGCATGCATAACAATTGCAACCAAGAGTTCTATTTCAAAGGGGGATACAGGAATGGAGCATGTTGGTATGGAAAGAGGGAATCTATTCTGTCTTGGTCTCCAAACTCCTGTTCAGTTGCTGTCACCAGGTTGGAAAGGCCATGGTTCCTGAATTGAAGTGAAGATTTAGTTCTTTGCTAATTGCTCAACTCTCCAGGTTGACCTCAAATTGTGTTTGCTCTTGGGCAGCCTCCCCTATGATGCTTCCAGCACGCAAAAGACCCGGGTACATATTAAAACTAACAAACCAACAAGATAAAATGAGGCACAGATTGGACTGGAGCAAAAATATGGACTGTGATAAACTTTATATACTCGTATCAAGTAGAGGTTGATATTTTTTCCAGTCTGGGAAATTTTGTGGGAGAAAATGCTCTGCTAGATCTGAATGTGAGAAAGAAACTTACTGCAGACTGGTTTTGACCCAGATCTTTGCCCAGGGGAAGAAGGGCTTAATTTCATCCATGTTTAAAAAAAAAAGAAAGGAAAAAAAAAACAGATTGCCTTGTGTGCAGTCTAATGAGCTCCCACAGACCATTCCCTAAATGCTAAATATGCCATATCAGTCATTCAGCTGATATCTAAACCTAGGAATGTTGCAAGTTGAAGAATGACAAATAGCTCCCTTGGTTGAACAGCAGCTTAATGAAAGAGCCTTAACCAACAAGAAAATGATTCAGTGGGGAGAACGACTGTTTTGAGTGTGCATAAATAACATATGACTGAATATCTTCTACTTGGGGCAGAGAGTTTGAGGACAACAAATTGGAGCTGTCTCTTTGATAATAGCAAACACACACACACACACATTCATTCATTTATTCATTCATTCTTTGCAAATTGCTCATAATGATTGAGGAACTTTTTGAGGATTGTGAGTCATGATATCAAACATTGTTTTACTTATTGTTTAAGGGAATACAGATAATCCTCAATTTACGAGCACAATTGAGCCCAAAAATGAGGGAGTTTTGTCCCATGTTATAACTTTCCTTTCCACATTTGATAAGTGAATCACTGCGGATGTTTAAGTGAGTAACACAATTCTTAAGTGAATCTGGATTCCCCGTTAATTTTGCTTAGCAGAAAGTCACAAGGATATAACTCCAGGACTCTGCAACTATCATAGATACATGCCAGTTGCCAAGCATCTGAATTTCAATCACGTGACCATAGGTCACACTTACAATGGTCGTAAGTGTGAAAACCAGTCATTTGGTCACTTTTTTCAGCACTGTTATAACTTTGGATGGTTACAAAATGAATGGCTGCATAAGACAAAGACTATCTGTACCCGTGATTAATGCCGTTCATTTGAATTAAACTTAGTAGATAAAATTTCATTGCTGTATAATGCTTCTTTGTTAATTTATATAGACTCTTTTGCTTGAGTATTCATGCTAATAGTTTTGTTCCTGTCTGATGTCTGTCACACTAAGCAAGACCTAAGATAAGGCAGTGTCAGTGCCAGAGCTTTAAATGGTGAAGTAGTAAAGTTGTGTCCCGCTTGTGGGACAGAGGTTCAAAATATTAATACCTTCATCTCTATGCAATTGAAGGTTACTTGGCAGAGGAATTTCTCATGCTAGCTCTTCTTGACCTCAGAAAATATATTCAGGATTCGTGCCAAGGGTTTCGTTGGAAATAATTACATCGCAGAACGTGAAGCATCAAAAGTACAAAATGGCGCAATCATTATGACCATTAGAACAGAGGAAGGATTCTGCTGGATCAGAAAAATGCTCATGTACTCATGCAATCTAATTTAAAAGTAACATATTTTACATCCAAGAGTAGCTTGCCCCCCCCCTCTCGATAGATAGATGGATGGATAGATGGATATAGAGCTAAAGATATTTCATATATAGAATAGGATTTATGTTTCAATGGATATAGCAAATAAGATTTGAAAAGATGTATTTAAATTTATGGAACAATGGTTAGATTCAGAATGGTTCAAATATAATGTGAATGAGGATATTAATAAAAATGTTAATGCTTAGGGTTTATATGTAAAGTGTGTGATTGTAAATAGCATGAATTAAATTTTGCTTAATGAATGTGTGATAGATTATTCCAGCAATGTTTGTCTGCCAGGATGTTTTCTCCAGAAGCATTCTGAATTACAATTTATTGCAATTTGTTCAGAGATTTTAGAATTCTTGCAATCCCTATTCTGCATGAAAAATATTTAAAAAAATACAAATCCCCATTAAAAACAAAGAAAAACATGCATAATTCTTAACAACAGTGAGGCAGACTCCGCCCTTTAAAATACAAAGATAAAAAAAAAAATCTATGATACTCTCTGAAGTAGAAATGTGCTAATTTCAATTCCCACTTGTTTTAATGGCTTGTTTTAGTTACTGCACTATGATAACATTTTTATATTGTATCTTATAATTGTGAGCCAGAACATCCAATTAAACCAAAGGGTGAGTTATTAAATTTTATAAATACAATGTGTGTTGTGCAGTTTCCTCCAGTAGTAACTTTGGGTGACGCTAAAAGCAACAGAAAGCATATGATGGATAACTCTACTGGCTTCAACTTGTTTAACCAGGGACAACTTGTTTAACCAGGCTTTCATTGCTGCTTCATGCAAACTTGTCTAGATTATCTAATCAGAGGTTTATAACATTTGTGATTGGATAACGCCTGCAGCTTTTTTCACAGTAGTAGAAAACAGAGACACCTATCCAGCTGATGTGTAGAAGAAAATGGATCTCATGCAGAGCAACTGCTTCATCACATAGCACTCCCAGGCAAAGTGTCTTCCATGGGAATATACACATACTTAGCAGAAACCTTTGAAGCAATTGTTCTGAGCTTTTCACAGATCATCACTTATCATTGTTTTAAGCAGCAAGTTCTAATGGGTGCTTGAGTTGCCTTCTTTAAGAAGATTTCTCTCTCTTCTGCATATGCAAATATTTCCCTAAGGGTGGTACTATCTTCTTCTGAATTCCCAATGGCCTCTTTTGTTTATAATCCTGTCAACCCTTTCTGTCCCCCTTCTGGTTTCAGATACACACACCATACATAGTTGCTATAGAAATTAGCGCTTTACTCAAAGTTAAGGAAATAACAGCAGACAAAGAATGCTAGCTAAACAGTTTCTGAAGGAAGCTTGAGTGATTTTTTTTTCTTTTAATAAGAACATACAAAAGAATAGTTCAAATACAGTCCACAGTTCCAAGATCCAAGTCAAGGTTGTCAGCTAGGAGATCAGAATTTCATGAGTAGATTCCACACCCAAATATCACAAAGAGCTTCAGATCAGGTGGTTGCTTCCGACGAGAGGGTCAGGGTTGCTTTTTAAATAGGGTTGGGGCCAACTGTCAAATCAAGAAAATTACTCATGGCAAGGAGCCTCATAGAATACTTCTGCTTTGCAGTCCTCTCTGTTCACCAGGTCCTGATGTATGCTTGGCATGTGATGCTTGGCTTTATGTCTCTTGAAGCTAACATTCCAAATCTTACTGGAGTAGTTTCTTCATGGCACTGTCTTAAGTTTAGTGTTGAACAATCATAACTGCACAGAAGGCTACTTTTCAGTATATGCCAGCAAAAGATCACAATGAGATACAACTTTTTCTATCATCTTCTGTTCTAGTTTCACAAAGATCAGTCAAATTGCTAAGGGGATCCACATTTGCCACTTCTTTTTTTTTTGCTGTTCTTAAATTAAGACACACAGTTTCTGAACTTCATAGGTAAAAAGTAATAACTCCCAAGTTCCTTGGTTTAGTGATCTTTTCATTGGTGGTTTGGACATTGTGGCTGTTGTCTTAAAAGGAGAAACCATGCATGCTAGGCAGTGGTTTCCCCCAGTTGTGTTGCAACTACAATTCCTTGGCCAAACGATCCCAACCTATGTGAAAACTAAGTTCAAGATACATTTGGTTTTAGTTAGGTTAAAAGGTCTTATACTTTGGTAGAACCAGCCATGAGGGGCATGTTGGGAAGATAAGCATGTAAAATATTTATGATTTAATATGTACAGCTATAGTATCTTTTGCTGCAAATAAAGCCGTAAGCATTTTGCAGTTTTATAGCTTTTATGGCTAATGAGAGAATTTTTAAAGGGTCTGTGTGTACAGTATTTTAATTAAAATTTTAATTTAAAATAATAAAACCATGAAGAATATTACAAAGTGCAATAACAATCGATATAATGGAATTTTTAACAAATACGTTGATTAAAAGCACTATATGCTATAACTTTCTTTAAAAAAGTTTTTAAAAAGTGGATATGAATCTTTGGACTAATATACATGATTACACATTAGTCATAGATTTTGAACAGAGGTGAAGAAAACTTCTTAATTCTGGGTGTTAAGCATGCTTATTAATGAAGTTATGTTTCTTATTCAACATAACTTTTGCTTCTGGAGTATAGCCATGTAACTTATGAATGCAACTCATAGTTTTCTTTTGAGTGCTGATAAAATGCAGACCAACTTCTATAGAAGAGAAATGTGTGCATTTCAGTACCCAGGATTTTATCACTTGGGAAGGCCATTGCTGAGAATCTTGGGATTTGAAGTCCATAGATCTAGAAGTTACCAATGATGGGAAACAGAGATGTAGAGTATAAAGCAAATAACATACTGATCAGTGGTGGGATTCAAATTTTTTTACTACCAGTTCTGTGGGTGTGGCTTGGTGGGTGTGGCAGGGGAAGGATACTGTAAAATCTCCACTTAGAAGTGGTTCTCCAAACTACTCAAAATTTACGCTATCAGTTCTCCAGAACTGGTCAGAACCTGCTGAATACCACCTCTGATACTGATCAAATAATAAACATTATGGCAGCTGAAGATATGGACCACAGACTATTTAGTCTTTATAATAACCATTATTCTTCAGATTATTTAATAGTTCCCATTCAGTGGGATCTGGAAGTTTTGTTTTGCTTTCGTAGCAAATAACTATCTCATATCTGTAAAATATTCATTGAATTTGTCCCCACTCCATTGCGAGGTATCTTGAGATAGATATGCAGAAGGAATTTCCTGTATGGAAACCCAACTATATTTTCTGTATGAGAACATGGGACAGATCAATTAAAACTAGTTAACATTATAGCATTGTGACTGATATTATGAGGCATGGTTTTTCAAAATGGCTAGAAATAATGTCTTAACTCATCTGAAGGCCACCAGATTTCTGAAGATTAATTAAATATATATTTCCACATTTGTGTTTACAGAGCTCTCCATGTGCTAGTCTGCAATGCTGCTGTTTTAGGTCTTCCTTGGCAATTAACCGAAGATGGCCTGGAAAGGACTTTCCAGGTGAATCATTTGGGACACTTTTATCTCATTCAGCTCCTCAAAGATGTTCTTTGCCGCTCAGCTCCCGCAAGAATCGTGATAGTTTCTTCTGAATCACACAGGTTAGTTCTGAAAGGAATGTACTCACCGTTGTTGTTTTTTTTAAATGCAATTGAACCTTTTTCCTGAAAGTTTCACTGAACTTTTTTAGTGTTTTGATATTATTTGTTACTTTCTTCCTTAGTTGCTCTGGAACAATAGTTTGAGTCAGTTCCTAAGTGAAAAAACATATTTTTAATAGGTTGTTCAGTTTTAGGGTGCTTGACTCCAAAAGTATCTGACTCCAAATGACCGGGGAGCTTCACAAATTTAAAAGAACAACAATTTCATACAACAACAAATTTCCATAAAGCAACCACCATGACCACATATCCCTCCATTTGAAAGGATCCTGTTCAACCATCTTAACCCCAAGACAATGCATAGTGTTTAAAAGAAAGTTGTGGAAGAAAATATATTTAGAATTCTACATTAGAAAACTATTTGATAGTGCAGTGAAAGGATAGGCAAATTTATCTTTTCTGGATTTGCTGAACTTCTACCAATCTGAGTTATTTTAGACAAAGGAAGTTGGGAAACCATAATATAACATATCTGGAGAGCATCTGCTATCGTGCTAGGTAGTCAACCATAAAGTGCCCAAAGTGGTTCTGATCTATTCCCATAACTTCACTTTACTTCACAGGGTTTTTAAAAAGAAATAGATGAAAGAAAAATCATAGATATTATTCAAAGGATCACACAATCGATTTGGTTCATGTGCTTGGATGTTTTCTTCTTCTTGTTGCAATATCGTCTATCTTGACTACTGAGTAAACCACTAGAGCGGGAATGATTAGCTTTCTTTCCTGTGGCATTTGAGTAGCCTGCTGGCACTTCAGAGTAGGAGGAACCTGAACGTACATTGAATTTAATATTTGATTGATCGCATCTGATTGATCTTTGCCTATTGAATATCTTCCCAATGCATTCAAAACGGCAATGAAATTGGAATGGCTCTGTGATTGTCCTCTCAAACCCTTTAGATGCCACATGGTTTCCTTCTTCCACAAATGGCAGGGACCCTTTATAGATTAACACTACAGACTATTCTGGGAAAGATGCTTTCTGCTCACTGCTATGGTTCTCGGGATCTTGTGGGCCAAATTAAATAAATAAAATATTCAGCTCTTTACTAGAAAGTAGGTGAATGGTAAATGGACTGACGACCCAATTCTAGATTGACTAGATTGTGTCTTAATCTTCATATTGAAGCAGAGGTTCTTTGCCGAAGAATGCTTTTGTTCTGCCAGCTGGTGAAACAATAATTGATTAAATCTGAATGGTGTGACTTTTATTGATTTGCCATTCAACATCTTCAGTACCGTGCCAGGAAGAATTCACCTTTACTCTAATTGGAAGCTAATGCAATTACTTTTAGATTAAATACACATTTGTGATTTCTCTCTCTCTCTCTCTCCGAATATGTATGAGTGGATGTTCTTAATTGTTAGGCAAGGAATTTCATGTGGACCAAAGCTATAACTTCGTGCAAAGGACATAGCGTGTTCTGAATGCTTTCCACCATTAAACCCCGATTTGGAAAATCTTTTGCCTGAGATTGAAATATGGCATAATGTTTTCTAGTGAATGTGGAATTGGTTGACTAGCTCTTATTTTTTTTCTAATCACCTTTTTAGCAAAATCCTGTTCAAAATGCCCAATAGCATCAAAGCTTTTTCTTATGCTACTCAACTAGCAACTTTTTCTCTTTCTCTCTTCCTCCCTCCCTCTTTCTCTCTCTCTCTCTCTCTCTCCCCCAATGCTTTTTGATGATGATGATGATAATAATAATAATAATAATAATAATGATAATGATAATGATAATAATAATAACCTTTCTTCTGTGCTACAAAAAAGCTGTGACTGTGATTAACTGGATTGTGCTTATTCTTCCCTTTCTTCATGTTTCAACTATGCAGTGTGAAACATGCTTCTCTTTAAAAAAAAAAATCACTTTCCTTAAGATGTACAGTAGCTCCTGGGACTTAGTAGGCAGGGAATGGCTCAGGGTTAGGCTGAATTCTTTTATTAATCCCAGTATAAGGGCTCGTGATAGAAAGGACAATATTGCACAAAGATTTACTTTAGCCATTTTAAATTTATGACGGCTGAAATGGAAGAAAGAAGTAAAAATGCCCATATCAATCATGCCCAGAGCCACAACATGAAATATCAATTAGGTGAGAACACCAACCCATCATCAACAAAGTCCTTTATAAATTGTGTCGAGTTTTTCTGCCTTTCTATGTTTCAAGTGTGTGAAAGCAAGCGGTGGAGTTCCTTGCAAGGCGGACCAGTTGGTCTAGCTCTAAAAAGATAAGTTTAGCTCTAAAAATGTGCAAAGAAATAAGATCCTTCCATGTCTCCCACCATCTTGCCTGAAACTGATGAGGCTTTTTGGATGAAGAGCAGTATGTCTTCCAGAAAGCAAACAAAGGATGTTTCAGTTGTTGTTTTTCTAAACAAAAACAAAACACCTTTCAGACAACCATGACCTCGATGATTGAGAATCTCCATAGACATTTAGCTCTAGAAATAAATTTCCCCAAATGGGGAAGGTGCAATGGGATTGTACAGTACATGCATGAGCTGTAATTTAATGGTGATTACATGGAATTGTCAGTGGCTTGTATTATCTGCTTATTATTATATATCTATATAACGAAATACCACTCATGCATCATCACAAAATCTCCAGAACCGTAAAGCTGTACAGATGGAACGATGGATGCTATTCCAAGCTTTATTAAGGCTAATGATCTCAAATTCTTCTGGAGGAACCAGCATGATCCAGAACCATAAAGCCTACCAACTTGAAATTTGGCACGTATGTTCCTCTTGGCTTCTAGGAGCTCACTAAGAAAGGATTTTTCGAACTGACCATCAGAGCATTAGTGTTTCCTATATTATTATTAATACGCTCTGAGGCTAAGGAGTTCTACTCCCCCTCTCCACCTGGAAAGAAATCTGTCCCAAATGCAAAACACAAGCAGAGGAGAGGAGTTTCAGTTTCAGTTATAGTTTCAGAGCAGCAACCAGCTCAACTGTTGAGCTAAGCCATGCCCAGGCTCCTTGCTGTCTCCTTCTTCCTCACACAGCAAATACGATTTCAGTTTCCAAACAGCCCTCAACTTTCATACACTGACAGGACACTAGCCAGATGAATACTGATGGATGCTGGTAGGCAGAGGCACAAGTTTTTCCCCTTATTTTCCTCTCCCAAAACTAAGCCTGATTACATAGTTTCGTAGTGAAGCACAGGTATCGAAGTAGTTTCTTTATATTATCATTGAACTCCAGCATTTTAAAAATATTTTCCTTCTTTGCTTTGGAGTGGACTTTGTCTCCGCCTATCACTTTGATATCATTGATAGCTTTAATTCCTTTGTTCGCAGAACTTTAAAGTTTGATTGGGAATCAAAGCGGAGACAGGACCAACAAAATATTGTTCTTTGCTTACTTACAGAAGAACAACCAGGGTTTCTGGAAAACCTATCCCACAATATGTGATTGTTGTGTCTCCAGATCTAACAACTAATTGCTTCTCCATTTCTCGGGGCTTGTCATGCATTAAATTAGATGTTTAAATATGAGCATTGAAAATGGCTGTGAGTTTTACCATATCTGTGAGAAATTAGCAGGATGAATTCACTAGCTCCTGCATCTTATCACGTACATTTGTAATCTGTTTGAAAATACCAAAGCCAGGCTCAGTCATTTTTTTTTTTTTTCATGCTATGCAGAATAATTCCAATTCTCCTAAGGTGTTCTCTGTGGAGCATTATATTAGAATAAGTGGGAATATTTGTTGTTGGTTTCTTTGTAAATCTAATTTATCCAGGCCTCATTTCTTCATATCTATTGTTGGACTTCATCAGTAAGCATTGGCTGTGCTGGTTAAGACTGATGGGAATTGGAATAGCTGAAGGGATACAAGCTTTCACTGGCTCTTTTCAGAATCACTTTTTCAGATGTTGGGAGAATGGAAGAAAAGAGAAGGAATGGGTTGGCTGTTCATCTAGTTGAGAAGTGGAATAAGTTAGTAGGGCCATTTTTGAAAGTCCAACAAAGATCTTTAGAATATTTGGGAGTTCTGCACATCCAGGTATATAGCAATAGCATTTAAACTGATATGCCTGTCCCACAGTGCTTTACAGAACGCTCTGGGCAGTTTACAATGTCAGCACATTGCCCCCAATTCATAAATCATGAATTGTGAAAGTCCATCAATGTTATAGAAAGTGTTACAGCACTTCAAAGCATGATTATCTGTTATAGCATAGCATAGCATGTTGTGCCTAGACTCTGTAGTTCCTAGTTTGGGAAGAAAACTACAGCAGGTCCTTCCTTCCTTCCTTCCTTCCTTCCTTCCTTCCTTCCTTCCTTCCT